ACCTCAAGCCTAAACGATCATGGACAATGCATGAAGAAAAGGGGTAGATAGGATGGTGAGTGTTTTGGATTCAATGTCAAAGTATTTATGAATCCATTTGAAGCTCATCTCTATAGGATCATGCATATTATCATCATTCACATATTCCTATATCCTTAGTAATAGACTTTGCACTTCATTCATAGATATTGTCATATGAAGTCTTTGCTAAGAAAGGGTTAGTTCAAGCTTGTATAAGCTTTGAAAGAACTCACAACTTAAGCTAGAAATGCTAGGACCATGCACATTAATCATAAGATTTACTTTGGTGTCTAGAAAGAAAAGGAAAAGGCATTGAACTTAATATTTCATCTTTAAAGCCTTTGTTGCCATAATTTGGTAAATGACTCTAGGACACAATGCACTTGAAATTTATCATCTCCATATGTCCCTAGACTCTTAGAAATAGGTCTTGAACAAAATTGAATCATTCATCAAAGTCCTAGGTGCTAGAAAGATGGATATCTCAAAAGAAGCTATTTTCAGCCTAGAAAATTTCAGACCAGCTTGCACTAAAACTGCTATAACTATTTGTGTAGTTGTAATTTTTACACAAGGTCAGTGGCATTGGAAAGCTGACTTCGAGCCCTTGAGTTTAGACTCAAATTTCACCTAAATTGGATTAAAAATGACTAAGATATGAGCTTCACAAAATACATAATTCTGCTCTGCGAAAATTCTGACCAGGTTTCACTTAAATAGCCATAACTTCTTCTGTGTTTGGAATTTTTGAGCAAGGCCAGTGGATTTAGAAAGCTGACTTCAAGGCAATAAATTTAGACTTAAATTTCACCTCATTTGGAGTTTCATGGACTGAGTTATGTCCATTTGAAGTCATGCCATTTTCTGTCAAAATCCAAAACAAGGTGTTGCCTCCATGAAAACTAAAGCAAGCACATTTTAAATTGGAGCCGCCTCCCAATTATTGGAGCCGCCTCCCATTTATTGGAGCCGCCTCTCATTTTTATAGGAGCCGCCTCTTTGCACTCCAGTAGCCAAAACTTATGTCGTAGAATGCATTTCATGGATTGGAGCCGCCTCCCAGTTATTAGAGCCGCCTCCCATTTATTGGAGCCTCCTCCAATTTTTTGTAGAGCCGGCTCTTCTAAGATATTTGAATCTACAACGGCACTTTTCTGCATTTAAGTCTTCCAACTACTTCTAACAGACATATTAAGCTACGGCTGTCTATATAAGGAAGGCTCATTTTGCTGAAGCAAATAGACCACCATTTTTGAGAGACATAATATTACATTTCAAGAGATCTTTTGTTCTCTCATCTTCTCTTCTCTCTCATTTCACTCTTATTCTATTTTGAGAGATTTAATTAAGCATTAAAAGGGCTTTTGCTCTTGCCTTAATCTTCATAGAGTTTTTTTGCTCTATTATTCACTTGAGAGATTATAAAAGCTTACATTCTTCACTTATATCATCTTCTCTCATTCATATCATTTATAGAGTTTGAGTTTCACTTATATTCATATATACTCTAGTTGAGAGCTAAAGTTTGTACATCAATCTTTAAGAGATTTTTCTTGTGAGCTTGCACTTGTATATCTATCTTGAGAGAGATTTAATCTTGTATTTCAATTACAATCTTTTCTACAAACTTGTAAGGGTTGGTGTGACCCAAAAGAAGCCTAGGAGAAGGGTGTTCTCCTAGCAAGGAAAAGAAGCAAGGTCTTGCTTCATGTAAAGGTTTGCTCTCCACCCGCAAGGAGAAGCTATATTGGATTGGGAAGTCTCAAGAGGGATCTTGAGCCGAGGAGTAGGAGTTTCCGAACCTCGCAAAAATCGCCGTGTTGTTGTTTGCAATTTCTCTTCCCTTATCTCTCTTATAATTATGCTTTAATTGCTTATTCCATATCTTGATCTCATATCTTGATTATTGCATAATTACTTAAATTGTTAAATAGAAATTGTATTTCTATATATTGCGAAAATTATCTATTGTTTGGCATTGACTCTATTCACCCCCCCTCTAGAGTCAATTCTTGGGCAACAATTACATTCTTAGGCATCTTCAATTTAGGCAAACCTCGAACAAGATCATTGTTAGACAAATTCACTAAATCATTAAATCATTACATGTCCAAGTCTTTTATGCCATAAAACAGCCTCTTCAGTAACTGCAGAAAAACACATTATTGAAGGATTTGAAAACACAACATAACAATTATCAGAAGTTCTAGTTCCTTTCAAGATGTATTCACCTTTTTCATTTGTTACAAAACACCCTTGTTGAGTAAAATTGACTTGAAACTCTTCATCACAAATTTAACTAATACTCAACAGATTAGTAGCTAAACCTTTAACATATAGAACATTCTTTAACTCCCAATTCCTGAAAATTTGATCTTACCTTTACCACTTACAGTAGAAGCATTACCATCACCAAAGTAACAGTACCAACTCAGCATTCCTTAAAAGTGGTAAACAATGTTCTATCCCCTATCATATGCCTAGGGCAACCACTATCAAGATACCAACCACATGGACCAAGTGCTATAAGTGTTGTGTGGATTGCATGACATTTAAAATTCTCTTTCTTTACCTAAACAATTTTAGATTCATGATGAAATGATTTTCCTATTATTCTAGGCAAAGTGTCACAAGACTCAACAGTCCTAATCCTTTTCTTCCTCAAATTTGAACTTTCTAGATTTTTTAATTTCTTTCCTAGTTTAATTTTTCTTTTCTGACACTTATATTTGATTTATCCTTTATCACCACAAAAATGACATGTTGAAATAAGTTTGAGAGAATTAGAAATAACACAAGGCTTGGTTTCAACTTCCACAAAAACATCTTTTGATTTTTGAAAATACGAATCCTTTAAAGTTGAAGCAAATTATTTGTTATGACTAATATTCTCAACCACTCCTTTCAACTTATCAATTTTGCAAGTGTTATTATCAACTATCTGAAAAGACTGTTTTGATTTAACAAAATTACTACTCAACTTATCAATTTTAAGTTCCAGTGATTTATTAAACAAATTTACCTTCTTAAGTTCATTTTCTTGGAAAGCAATCTTATGAAGAAGATACAAATTTTTATGGCTAATTTCTTCCAAATTCTTGTTAGAGACAGAAACTTCTAACTTATAAATATCTCTATCAAGTTCTGCAAGATTCAATTTCTTTAACAAATTTTCAAAATCCTTATTGAACTTCGACCATTCACTTTGCATGCTTGTGACAGAATCAATAACAGGAGGTAAAGGTTGTGAAACAAGAGTTACGCGGGGTGCGGAGACAGTCTGTTGATTTTAATTGTGATTAACTCCTTTAATGACCTAGATTTGATTATTAGGTCAACTTGCTAAATTTACAATTGATTAAATTGTATGATCAATTAAACATCCACAATCATAAATATAAATACTAAAAAGTAAAGCAAGTTAAGTTTAGAGAGACTGCACCAGGATTTTTAGCGAGGAACCAGTTGATAAAATACATCAACTGTTATGGGAAAACCTCATAGTAAACTAATCCACTATGCTTGAAACAAAGTATATCGAACTTTGACTCTGGCTCACACCCTATCGTTCTACAGCACACCAACCGGTGATGATCCTCTGGCTGTGTTACTTCCCGTCCAACAACAACTTAACCTCAGGCTTACACTTAATATTTGTAGAAGAGTAGCAGGTAGATCAGACAGCACTCCTCGAATGCTCCAACCCTTCCAAAGTGTGATTGCATTTACCTCTGTTCTTCAAGATCTGAATTGAAACCAATGAGAATATAGACTCCACAAGATTATATGTATCAACAGAAATAACCAAGATCAAATCTTTTCAGTTTCACAAACTTAGTAAGTGTAGTAAAATCACCACCAAGTTCCAAAAACATATGATCTATCAATCATTCAGATTTCAGATAATAAATCAATGATATCACATATCCTTAGAAATTAAACAATCAACAAGTACAAAAGACATATTTATTTTATTTATTTTATCTTTCTTTGAACTCCATCTTTCTTTTTGCACATTGGCAGCTTTCACGCTTATGGCCAGCTAGCTCTTTCCCTTATTCCCATTTGTTTCGAGTCAATGTATCTTTCGGACAAATCCCAAAGGTAGCCTTTTCCATCTCACCCTTTTTTTTTTTTTTTTTTTTTCAAAACAGCAAATATTTTTCTTTTTTTTTCAAAAACTTTTTCATTCCAAGTTATTTTTCAATTTTATTTTCTTTTCACTCTTTTGGTCTAAAACACATAAATCAAGTTTAAATTTCAAGACAATGATCCATCATATCAACATTATCTTTGACCTAAACAATAACATCTAAAGTAAATGTACTATCAATGATTCATTTCCTATATGAAATAAGATAGGCAAAACCAATTTCATCAATTCATAGCTATTGTATGCTTTCAGATAATCCATGTGTCATTAAACTCCTTGTGGTCAACATACTTAATCAATATGGTTTGTTTAACTTCCCAAAAACATAATCTAGACTCTCAAGATATGCATGAAAATCCTTTCTAGACTATGTTTTTGCAATACATCTAATCAAGACAACAGACACCAATAGATTTCCTAAAATGAGAAAACTTAGGAGCATCTAATAGTTTAATAAGAATATCAGCCAAATTCTGATCAGTATGCACTTTTTCCAAAGACACGACATTTTGTTCAACAAGTTCCTTAAGAAAATGATGTCGAATGTCAATTTACTTAGTCCTAGAATGCAAAACTGGATTATTTAAAATATTAATTGTACTAGTATTATCACAAAAGATAGCAATAGTACCTTAATCAACTCCATAATCCAGAAGCATCTATTTCATCCAAAGCAATTGTATGCAACAATGTCCAGCAGCAATGTATTTAGCTTCACAAGATGATAAAGATATGCAATTTTGTTTCTTGCTATACCATGAAACAAGGTTAGTACAACATAGAAACAACCACCTGAATTACTCTTTCTATCATCCTTGTTTCTTACCTAATCAGCATCAATATAGCCTGCAATCTCAGAGTTAGACTCAGAAGAATAATATAATCCATAATTCAATGTACTATTAACATAACGAATAATACGCTTGACTGCAAAAATGTGTTGTTCTCTAATATCACCTTGATACCTAGCATAAACACCTACACTAAATGAAATATCTGGCCTAGTTGCTGCCAAATACAACAAGCTACCAATCATACTCCTATATAAGAAATGATCAACCTTGTTAGGATCAGAATCTTTATCCAATTTAGATGAAGCACTCATAGGAGTTTGAACATGCTTTAAATCTTTCATACCAAACTTCTTAACTAGCTCATTTGCATATTTTGATTGAGATATGAAAATCCCATCATCAAGTTGTTTCACTTGGATACCTAGAAAGAAAGTTAGTTCACTAACTATGCTCATTTCAAAAGTATTACCCGTATCTTTAGAAAAATTATGAATAAGGTTATCACATGTAGCACCAAAAACAATATCATCCACATATATTTGAGCAACAAGAAAATCTTTTCCTTTCCTAAAAATAAACAACGTTTTATCCGCTCCTCCTCTTCTGAAGCCCTTGTGTAATAGATAAGAAGACGACTTCTCATACCATGCTCTAGGTGCTTTCTTTAAACCATAAAGAGCCTTTTTAAGATGAAAAACAAAATCAAGATTATGTGGATCAATAAAACATTTTGGTTGTGCTACATAAACTTCTTCCTGCAAAATACCATTAAGAAACGCATTTTTCACATCCATTTGAAACAATTTGAATTTAAAGTGACATGCAAGAGCAAAAAGAAGTCGAATAGACTCAAGTCTAGCAACAGGTGCAAATTTTTTATCAAAATCAATTCCTTCAACTTGAGTGTATCCTTGTGCAACTAATCTAGCTTTATTTATCATCACAAGACCATGTTCATTAAGTTTATTTTTAAAGATCCATTTGGTCTCTATGATATTAATATCACTAGGTCGAGGCACTAATTCCCAAACATCATTCTTCACAAATTGAAGCAATTCTTCTTGTATAGCCATAGGCCAATCAGAATTTTGAAGAGCTTCATCAACATTTTTAGGTTCAAACTAAGCCATGTGATATAAGTGTACTATATCATCTACAATGCATGAGTGTCCTACATCATCACGGACTGTACTCCTAGTACCATGCTTATCCCATGGACCTATTACATTGTCAATTGGTTGACTCAATCTAACTTTAGAACTGCTAGATATGGGAATATCTAGAGATGGTGCAAGAATTCTTATAGGTTCATTAGTGGTGTCCTCAAATTCCTTTTTTTTCATCTTCTTCAATCTCTTCACCTTCTTTACCTAAATCCTCAACTCTTTCTTCCTCATGAATTATAGGTTATTTCCTTTCTCCTGTAATTTCAAATTAGTTTCTTCTTCATCAAGTTGAGACGAGGTTAACTTAGATTTTGTATCATCAAAAATCACATTTATAGACTCCATGACCATTTTGGTTTTAAGATTAAAAACCCTATAAGCCCGACTTGTTTGTGAATAACCCAAAAACACACCTTCATCACTTCTAGAGTCAAATTTTCCCAAGTGTTCCCTATCTCTAAGGATATACCGTTTCTTCCAAAGACTCTAAAGTATTTAACAGTGGGCTTTCTATCATACCACAATTCATATGAAGTTTTGTTAGTTCCAGGCCTAAGATAAACTCTATTTAGGATATGACAAGCAGTACATACCGATTCAGCCCAAAAGTAACTAGCAATCTTATTCTCATGAAGCATATTACGAGCCATACTTGCAATTGTCCTATTTTTTCTTTCCACTACACCATTTTGTTGTGGTGTTTAGGTGCTAAAAATTCATGCTTAATGCCATTCTTATCACAATATTCAATAAACTCCTTAGGTTCGAATTCACCTCCATTGTCGCTCCTAATCCGATTAATTCGATATCCTTTCTTATTTTGAATAAGTTGGCAAATAGACCTGAAATTCACAAAAGTATCAGATTTTTCTCTCAAATATGCAACAAAAGTAAATCTAGAAAAATCAACCATAACAGGCAAATATCTTTTTCCTCCAATGCTATCAGGTGTTATGTGACCCATCAAATCCATATGAATCAATTCTAATGGTCGAGAAGCGATTTTATGAATAAGTCTCTTATGTGACACTCTAGTTTATTTTCCTAATTGACATAGATAACATATTTCATTCTTAGGCATCTTCAATTTAGGCAAACCTTGAACAAGATCATTGTTAGACAAATTCACTAAATCATTATAATTCACATGTCCAAGTCTTTTATGCCATAAAATAGCCTCATCAATAACTACAGAAAAACACATAAGTGAAGGATCTGAAAACACAACAAAGCAATTATCAGAAGTTCTAGTTCCTTTCAATATGCATTCACCTTTTTCATTAGTTACAAAACACCCTTGTTGAGTAATATTGACTTGAAACTCCTCATCACATATTTGACTAATACTCAACAGATTAGTAGCTAAATCTTTAACATATAGAACATTTTTTAACTCCTCAATTCCTAAAAATTTGATCTTACCTTTACCATTTACAGTAGAAGCATTACCATCACCAAAGTAACAGTACCAGCTGAGCATTCCTTAAAAGTGGTAAACAATGTTCTATCCCTTGTCATATGCCCAGAGCAACCCCTATCAAAGTACCAACCACATGAACCAAGTGCTCTAAGTGGTGTGTGCATGGCAAGGCATTTAAAGTTCTATTTCTTTACCCAAACAATTTTAGATTCGTTATGCAATGATTTTTCTATTGTTCTAGGCAAAGTATTATAAGGCTCAATAGTCCTAATCCTCTTCTTTCTCAAATTTGAACTCTACATATTTTTCAATTTCTTTCCTAGTTCAATTTTTCTTTTCTGACACTTATACTTAATGTGCCCTTTTCACCACAAAAATGACATGTTGATACAAGTTTAGGAGACTTAGAAATAACACAAGGCTTCGTATCAACTTTCACAAAAACATCTTTCGATTTTTGAAAATACAAATCCTTTAAAGTTGAAGCCAATTCTTTGTTACTACAAGTATTCTCAACTACTCCTTTCAACTTATAAATTTTGCAAGTGTCAATGTCAACTTTTTGAACAGACTGTTTTGATTTAACAAATTCACTTCTCAAATTATCAATTTTAAGTTCTAGTGATTTATTAAACAAAATTACCTTCTTAAGCTCCTTTTCTAGAAAATCAATTTTATGAAGAAGATTCAAATTTTTATGGCCAATTTCTTCCAAATTCTTATTAGAGACAGAAACTTCTAACTTATAAATATCTCTATCAAGTTTCGCAAGATTCAATTTCTCTAGTAGATTTTCACAATCCTTTTTAAACTTTGACTACTCAATTTGTATGATTGGGACAGAATCAAAAACAGAAGATAAAGGCAACACATCAATAACATATGAATTTTTAGACATGATGCAAAAATTAACAATAAATCAACAAATATAATCTACTCTATATATTGAGTAACCCGCTCTGATACCAAATTGTGAAATAAGAGTTACGCTGGGTGCGGAAATAGTCAGTTGATTTTAATTGTGATTAACTCCTTTAATGACCTAGATTTGACTATTAGGTCAACTTGCTAAATTTACGATTAATTAAATTGCATGATCAATTAAACATCCATAATCATAAATATAAATACTAAAAAGTAAAGCAAGTTAAGTTTAAAGAGATTGCACCAGGATCTTTAGCGAGGAAACCCCAGTTGATAAAATATATCAACTATTATGGGGAAAACCTCGTGGATTGTGCAGTCCAAAGTAAACTAATCCACTATACTTGAAACAAAGTATATCGAACTTTGACTCTGGCTCACACTCTATCGTTCTACACCTCACCAACCGTTGACGATCATCTGGCTTTGCGACTTCTCGTCCAACAGTAACTTGACCTCAGGCTTACATTTGATATTTATAGAAGAGTAGTAGGTAGATCAGACAGCACTCCTCGAATGCTCCAACCCTTCCAAAGTGTGATTACGTTTACCTCTGTTCTTCAAGATCTAAATTTGATTGTAAAAGAATTAAATCCTGCTTCTCATCTGGAATATCTGAATCTTTATTATAGCTCTAATTCCGATGAGATAGAGAACAACACAACTAAATCGCTCATGAATATATGTGTATGCTCTCATAAATAAATTCAAAATAATCAGATTTTATTTTTTGAATTTTTTTTCTCTAGAAGGCTTTCTCAAAATATAGAATTGATTTTCCCTAAAGCCGTCTCTCAACCAATGTATATGACATGGTTTATATAGAGCTTTGAAAGTCCTAATCCCTCAGAAAATATGATAAATTTCATGCATAGGACTTGGAAGGAAGCTGGGATAAAAAAGGAAACATCAGAAGATAGAAACTTGGAAACCTGATGCATCCAGGACTTCTTGAACAGGTTCAAGATGGCCAGTAAGGAATCCCACGGATTCTTGAACTGGTTCATCCCTCTTGAACCGGTTCAAGATGGCTAATTTTGAAATTTTGCAATTCTGATGATGTTGAACCTGTTTGTTAAATCTTGAACTAGTTCAAGATGGACAGAATGTAAAAACTTGTTCTGAACTTTCCAAAACCCTTCCTAAATGTTCTCACTACCTGTCAAACTTCTTAGAGCATTGTTCTTATCATCTCGGAGTGTAGTATATCATGAAGACTTGACCTTCTTCAAATCCGCATCCGATCTTCAATCTTTAAAATTTTGAACCGAAAAATTATAACTCGATCGGACTTGTTTTGATAACGAAATTAACCAATTACAAAATATATATCACACAAAGGTAACACATCAATACAAGATGAATTTTTAGACATGATGCAAATATCAAATAGTAAATCAACAAATATGATCTACTCTATATATCGAGTATCCCATTCTAATACCAAATTGTGAAAGAAAAGTTACACGGGGTGCAAAAATTGATTAACTCCTTTAATGACCTAGATCTGATTATTAGGTCAACTTGCCCAATTTGCCATTGATTAAATTACTTAAGCAATATTATCAATTTGAACATTCACAATCATAAATATAAATACTATAAAGTAAAACAAGTAAAAGTTTAGAGAGATTGCACCAGGATTTTTAGCGAGGAAACCCCAGTTGATAAAATATGTCAATTGTTTGCATGGGAAAAACCTCGTAGACTATTTAGTCCAAAGTAAACCGATTCACTATGTTTGAAATAAAGTACTTATTGACTACGTGTCTAAGAAATTACCCAAATCCTACGCCAAACGAGTACTTGGTTGGGTTCAACCTCATTCCATATTTTCTCAGTATTCCAAATAGCTCTTGTAAATGTTGCAAATAATGGTCCTTCTATTTGCTCTTTACCACCATGTCATCGATGTAAGCCTTTACAGTCTTGCCCATTTGATTCTTGAAAATCCTGCTGACCAACCTCTGGTACGTAGCTCCGGCATTCTTCAGACTGAACTGCATGACCTTATAACAATAGACCCCTCGTTCAGTGACAAAAGAGGTCTTTTCCTCATCGTTCGAATCTATTGGGATTTTATTGTAACCTGAATAGGAATCCAGAAAGGTCAGTCATTCATATCCAATCGTAGCATCCACCATCTAATCAATCTTTGGAAGTGGAAAGCTATCCTTCGAGCAGGATTTATTCAGATTGGTGAAGTCAACGCAAACTCTTCATTTTCCATTCTTTTTTTGCACTACAACCACGTTTGACAGCCAGGACGGATATTGAACCTCTCTGATGAACCTAGCTTCTAGCAATCTATCAACTTCATTAGCGATGATCTGGTTTCGCTCCGGAGCGAACCTCTTTTGCTTCTGCCGTACAGGCTCAACACTCGGATCTATATTAAGGGAATGACAAGAGACAGAGGGGTCGATCCCCAGCATGTCTGAATGGCTCTAAGCGAACACATCTGCGTTCTGAGAAAGGAAATCAACTAACTAGTGCTTTTTTTCCTCTGCAAGCCCTGAACCTATTTTTGTAGTTCGGTCTGGCTTCAAATGATCAATTTCGACATCAACTAGAGGCTCCTCGGTCAACACTGGAGGCTCCTCTTCCCCGTTCGTGCTGGGGGGAGGCTTCTGTAATTGTTATCCTGGGCTAGTAGAGCGGACGGGAGCTTTTCCTTTCCCTGCGGCTTTCAGAGTTACCGAGTAACATTCCTTAGCAGTAACTTGATCCCCATGGATATCAATCACTTTGCTTCCATCCGGGCTCAAACATTGTATTAACTGGTGTAAGGTCGATGGGACTCCCTGGACCTATGAATCCATCCTCTTCCCATTAACAGATTATACGATGGATGGATTTCAACTACCACAAAGCTTTTAACAAGTTCCCTCTCGGTAGCTCAGACAAGTAATTCTACTGTGCCGATCGGTTCTACTCGTTTTCTATTGAATCCCAACAACGGATTTCCACTACATTTAAGCACCTCCGGCTTGATCTCTAGCCGATCGAAAGTGACCTTTGACATAACATTTGCACCGCTCCCTTGATCAATTAGCACCCTTTGCACTAGGCATTCTGCGACTGTCAGGTTAACAACCAAAGGGTCTTCATGAGGAACCTGAACTCGTAGCAAATCCGTTCTATCGAACTTTATCTGTGTTGATGCATGCTGCTGGTGTAGAGCGTTCACGCTGCTTATCCTTCTCTTCATCTGTGCTTGACGGAGACGCGTTTGGAGTAACTCTTCAGACTCTGCTGTCTGTTCAGGTTGGCCATGAATTGCATTTATAATCCGAACGGGTTGAGCGTTATGGTGATTCGGCTTCTGATTTCTCTTGACTTGCTCAGCCGGTCGGTTCTACCCCTGTGCTGAGCCTTAAACATATCCTGCAAAGTCTCCTCTTGCGATCAGTATCTCCACTTTCCTCTTTAAGTTCTTGCATTCATTAGTTTGATGACCAAAGTCACTATAAAAAGCATAATGTTTAGATTGGTCCCTTTGTTCAAGAGGTTGTCTGCTTGGTAATGGAGGACGAAACTTATCTTTGTTCTCTTAATATAGTCGTGCTAGAGTGACTTTGAGGGGAGTAACCAGCTCTTCTTCTTTGGGCCTTTTCTCTGCCTTCCAAAAGGTCTGACGCTATGGTGGAGCTTGTTTTTGCCGAATCGTGGCTTTTGACTTCTCCTCTGTTGAGATAATCGATGTTTTTCTCGCATTAGCTGTTTCCTCTTCTTCCAAATGCACGAAACCATTAGCTCTTTCATTCAGCTCATCCATAGTCTTTGGCGTATCCACCACCAGGCTTGTGTAGAATGGTGTCCCTCAGTTCATGGCTAGCTTGAATGCTTGAACCGCCGTGGACGGGTGACATTCCATTACCATGCTCTTGACAAGATTGAACCTGGTGAGGAAAACTTGAAGCTGTTCATCTTCATGCTACTTCATAGTGAATAGGCTTGAAACATCTTTTGCTGGGCACTTATTCCCATAGTACTGGCTGATGAACTTATCACACAATTCTTGGAAACTAGCGATTGAGCCTTCAGTCAGATTCTTAAACTAGTTGAGGGCTGGCCCTGCTAAGCTTATAGGGAAGCATTTGCACATCAAAGGGTCATTGTTCGTATTCAAAGCC